ATGTACCCGCTTGGACCAGTCCCTTGGTCTCTGGTTCAGCAGATGGCTTACCAAAGACTGACAAGGCAAAACTAATGCATGATATCTTAGGGGATTATACAATGAACAGAGGCCAGGTAAAAAACTGATGATATATCTTCAAGCACTTTCTTGTCTCCCTCCAAGCCTTTAAGACGCGCTTAAAAATATTTTGAAATTTTACCAAAGTGTGAGCGTGTAGACTTTGTGACAGATACAAAGCAGAATTTATTAAATCTGCAGAAAGGTCACGAAGAGGAATGAGTGATACATACCTGATAAAAGACAACAAAACCAAAGTTTTGCAAGACTGGAAAGGTTTTATTGTTATAATAATAAATAAGAAACAATTGATAAGATTGATATTAGAGGAATTGTCTAAAGATAAATATGCATGATATTAGAGGAATTGTCTAAAGATAAATATGCAGGGAAATTCGACGAAAGGAGAATTTTGTGCTGGTGAAGAGACATGTGTATGCCTCCAAGGTAAAGATGGAAAAGTAGAAGTAATACCGATTCCAGATCTACATACGTCTCAGGAGGAAGCCGATACCAGAATAATGCTACATATGCAACATGCGGCTGAAAATGATGAAAATGCAATAATTGTACGATCTCCTTATGTTATGGTATTACTTCTAATGTTAGCACAGTCTATCAACAGTGTAATACTATTAACACTCGGGTGTGGCTAATAATAAAAGACTGTTGAAAGTAAATGAAATCATTTATAGACTAGGAGAAGATCTTTGCAAAGCATTGATTGGGCTACATAGTTTCACCATATGTGATACCACTAGCCCTTTTTATGAGGAGAGGGAAAATTGAAACCGTAAACATTTTTTTTAAATATCCTGAATATATACCTATAACCAGTTTTCAAGAGAATGGGCGAGAGTGTTGATATTCAAGAAGAAGATTTCAAAATCAGTTTGTTTGCATTTTATACAGGAAAGACAAATACAGTGACATAAATAAGTTGCGCGTTGACATTTTCAGACAAAGTTTAGACCAAATGCAGACATACTTACAATTACCTATGGTATT